AGCCTAGTAACTAGATCGATTTAGGGGATAAACTAATGCGATCAAGACAACATTTCAGTCTGTTCTTATATAAGTTGTCCAATCTTCTACAGTGATGGTATCAGTTTGTCCGTCAATCGCCGGATCCTTATACTCTATATAACTTTTTATTACTTCATATTCGCGCAGCAGGAGAGTTCGCAAATATTTGATGGCCGTGTCCACAAGCCCATCCATGAGTGTTTTGAGTGATGGTTGCTCCATGATCCTCCTTCGGAATTCTTGCCGTCGTCGTTCATCGATGTTGTCTGCATTGGAAATACTTGCACTTGCAGAATAGTCATTATGAATAAGGAAAGATACTTTGCATCGACCTTGAACAGTTGCCGCTGCACAAAACAAGGTCATCACGTTGAAATTGTTGTGGCCGAATTTGACTGCTGAATAATACAATTCCGAAAAGGGTGCGAGCACTTCTCGCGGGTATGTTCTCGTTTCACAGCACCTCCGACCACAAATATACAGTGACTCTCGAGGAGAATGTTCCCAGTCTTCCGGTGGGGCATCCACACCTCTAACACTGAGTACTGCACTGTCAAATATCACTTCGGATGTGAAGAAAACTGGACCCATATCATGCCATATATTTCTTCCCCACACCATGTTACTTGGCGGCCATCCAGTCGTCACAAATGGTTGAACCATTCTGCAACACACGAAAATACAGTTTCAATATATATAAATGAAAGCTCAATGACAACTAAATAACGTACTAATACGTGTAAAGAAAAACGAATAGCTCTTCTCCAAAACCTATTTAAAACCTACTGATCTTCATTATCGGGAAGTGAAAGGCATACCAAGACCTTCTCTCTGGCCGATTTTGGAATGTGCACTCTATTTTCTAAATGCAATGTCTTTGATGTCCAGCTCCACACAACACAGTCTACATGCTGCCACTGCTGTGATGTTGTGTTGTCTTTCTTCCACGTCTTTTTCCATGCGTTCGAATATTGCACAGAAAGACGTTTAGCAATAGGTTGTGGCACCCAATATTCAATAAGAATATGATTGAAAGTTGACGACTTCATATCGTTGTCTACATCGGAAATGACTCTACCCATCCATACAAGAACTCCCTCATCGATATCATCCTGGGAAGGACGCAAGAGAACGAATTGACCTTTTTCGACATCCACAACTGGGTTGAGCTCCGCCTTTGGATGCTCATTGACCGGTCCAACGAACAACGGCTCCTTATTCTCATTGCTCTTCAAGAGGAAGACAATATCAATATTATCTGGATCATCCTTCTTAATTTTGTCTTGTGAGGGCCAGAAGTCAGCCTTGAGTGAAGTTTTCGCAAACCCAGACCCGTAATGCTCCTCGACTGTCTCGAGGAAAGTTTTCCAGTGTGAAAGAGCACTCTCCTTTGAGAAGCTAACCTCATCTTTCATTCCCAACCACTCGTGCCGCTTGTTCTCCAACCACCCAACAAACGTCTCCACACCTTCAATTCCCGATTCGAAATTCGAATTCCTATCTTTAGTAGGCAGAGAAGCTGACGGCGGAATAGGTGATGGCACGAATGGCCATTCAGGTCCAGCATATGCTTTGTTTTCATCTCGTTTATGGAGTAGACCATTCAGGAGAAGTGCAATACTCTTTCCACTAGAACACAGGATTGTCATCCTGCATATAAAACCTAAATGCATGTAGACAAGTATGACCGGTCAGTCTCTTGACCAGGAAGGGCTTAACAACAGCTCGCCAATCAGCAATTTCATCCATGAATGTGCACGATGGACGTTCTTTTTGAGAACTGGCAACGAGCTTGAAGAGGTCGAGCATGGTATATGCATCGTGCATTTTTAGTTTGCGAGAGAAATGATTGAAAGTGGCATCAACGTCCGTATGTGTGTGTCCCACTAACATAAAACCGAATTCGACTTCTTTGAAGAAACCAAATTTCACCAAAGCTGCAGCGAGTGCCAAAACGTATCTGTTTTTGTTTTCTCTCCAACAGTTGTCAGCTTTTATCCTCAGTTTAGGAGGCAAGTCGCTCGTCGCCTGGATGTCGCGGAGAACTTTCATAATGGATGACACTACAACATTAGAATCATGTGGATAGCAAGGGTACCATGTGTGAACATGGATCGATGGTGAGCGGCCTTGTGCAATAATAGCTGTTAGATTCGTTTTCAACATCGGAATATTTGCGAATGCCTTCGATTTGTTCTCTCCGCCAAAGTGTGGAATGTTGGTCTTGCTTTGGTCCATGCTGTCAATGATGATGCACAAATTGTTGGAACCCGGTCTATTCGACTCATCCTTCCACACCTCATACGCAGCAGGATGTTGGAGCTGCAAGTCCAAGTGTTTCTCGCGTAACAAAACAAAGTACTCACGCACACGCACGAACTTTGCGGAATTGATAGATTTTTTGTATTCAACACATTCCTCGCATTTCGCAAAGTTTTGATCAATGTCATGAAATTTCACATGCCAGAACTGTGTTCTCCACATGTTGTAAAAAACTTGGAGAGAAATACAAGGAGCACCCGTGTTGTCGAATTGCAACTTTAGCAACTTATAAATATCAACCTTGTTATAGCAAGCAAACAATCTCAACACCACTCTTGATTCCCCCTCTTTGGTCTTCATGTCATTGGGCATGGAATCTTCGTTGTCTCGCACGAAGGAGCTTAGTTTCCCGTACATCGTCGCATATGTTGCTGATTTGCGTCTGAGTCCAATACTGCCATGCTCCGGTATATTGTAGCCATTTGACAAAGTCATCTTTTTTTTGAGAAATGTATTCCTACATACACCCAGTGTGAAACACCAAGCAGTAATGCACACCTTTCGTCTCCCCACAATAGGTTGAACAATCTCCTTTTCATCTTCTATGAAGGTGAACCTCTTCAACGTTTCAACCCACCCCGCATCCCTGCTCTGCTGGTTCTTAGAGTAGTATGCGCTCCGGACAACTTTGATGTCGTCCAGGGTCATTTGAGCGCAACACTCTTTCTTACAGCAAACCTGCCCACGCACACTCGTCAGTGCTTTTTTGGTGAGTTTTCTATGAACTGATTGCACAATCTTCTTTGACCGGGGCATTATGAGACGAAAAGTATAAGGACGCTTCTCTGAGGACAAACGTTTTGGAAAAATGTCATCGAAATCAGAGATCACGTCACAATTCCCATCGTCATTTCGACAACAGTGGTCACTGTTCCGGTCAGCGTACGTTTGCGGAAGATCGGTTTTATCTGGAGAACTATCAGCACTAGACGACACCGAAACACTTGAATCTGAACCACCTTCATCACCCTCACCAAACAGAAGACCTGTGTACTCGAAATCTCGAAGTGAATTCCTCGGCACCCATACAATACGATCTACATCGGATGCGTCGTTGTCCGTAGAGGAGGCCTTACCCTCCTGACCTTGAGCACTCTCTGCATCACAGGTTCGAACCGGGCATCGAAGGACGGGATATGCACTTTCACATGTAGTGTCCGCACACGCAATATTTCATGACCTCTTACGAGCAGGATATTCCGGAGCATTATCGACATGATCGTGACCACTTCGAACATCTTGTGAACACATTGGCAGGTGCGGTGGAGGAAAATCCTCATTGAGCATTGTATTAGACGCCACACAGTCCATGCTTTCCAAGGTTATGCTGCAAGCCTGCCGTGGCATAGCATACACACCACAAGCCATGCACGAGACATGTCTGCGACAATAAAACAGCGGACCACTGTCAAAAGGCGAAAATCAGAGGTCAATGAAATGGAGCACACAACCATCCCTACACAACAGCGAGAAACACAACCCTACAAATGACCCTGAGAAACACAGCCCTACACTGGACAGAGGGGAACAGGAAACATCCGAGAGAGGATAACACACGACCGTGGAATCTGGGCAACAATCCTGTCATCAGGCCCAATCCGTGGCAAAGGTGCAATACACGCGAAAGAGTCTGTCTAAGTCGGAGATCGATCGACAATGGGAAGCGTAGCACATGTTGAGTCGGGGCACCAGCAACCGGAAACACAGCGTGCAACAGCATTGAAAAGGCGGAGTTCTTGACGCGCAACAGGAAACGCAGCACATGTCACGTCGGGCACCAGCTTCGGAAAGGCATAGACCACGGCGCGCAAAACCCAACGGGCACCAACAGCGGAACGGCGAAGATTCTGGCGCATAGCACACAGCTTGGCACAAGGGCATTGATAGGAAAGATTCTATATTACTCCAGTAACTACAGCGACTGGACACCTGTGGTAAGCTTGGTAATCACCACCCACGCAGAGCGGGCAGGAAAACTGCCTCGAGTGAGCAGGAATACCATCGTGGCAACGCGACCGTACCATCGGGGCGAAGCGACCGCCTCGCCCAACACGGAAGGGTCCCCCATCTTGATTCCCGGCACGCGTGGCACTCACCACCCACGCAGAGCGGGCAGGAAAACTGCCACGAGTGAGCAGGAAAACCATCGTGGCAACGCGACCGCCTCAGCCAACACGGAAGGGTCCCCCGTCTTGATTCCCGGGTACCAGAGTCCGAGGATTCGAAGCAAAATTCGCGCAGAGTTCGTTCTACGGCGCGCGACGGGTTTCTAGATAGCTAGGATGAGAAGGCAAACGACTGCGGCGACACCAATGTCGCGCCCAACACGATAGGAGCTCCATTGTATATTACAAGGTGGGGGTCGTGGCGCAATCTCGCAACAAGCAGTCAGTGCTACAAGAGACAAAAGACAGTCACCCGGGCACTGTGTTCTGCTGGCGCAACTCGCACTAAACTCTGCGCAAGTTGAAACATAGGTGGGGGTCGAGGCGAAAAAGAGCAGGGTGTTCGACATGACCGTGATGCCGTTCGACACGACCAAGACCGCATTTGACCGTGGCGGACACGACGACCAGCGTGCTCGACATGACGGCCACCGTGTCAAACCCGACGACCATCGTGCCGGACACGACGACCGTCGTCGACGAGCGTGTCGGACAAGAAGACGGTCGTGCTCGATACGATGGCGGTCGTGTGCGACACGACGACGGCCGTGTTCGACACGATGGCGATCGTGTTCGACCCGACGACGATCGTGTTCGACACGACAACCAGCGTGTTCGACACGACAAGGATCGTGTTCGACACGATGACCATCATGTTCAACACGACGATGACCGTGTCGGACACGACGACGATCGTGTTCGACGCGACGACCGTTGTGTTCGACACGACAACGATCGTGTTCAACACGACGACCATCGTGTTTGACACGACGACCAGCGTGTTGGACACGACAACGATCGTGTTCAACACGACGACNGTTCAACACGACGACCATCGTGTTTGACACGACGACCAGCGTGTTGGACACGACAACGATCGTGTTCAACACGACGACCATCGTGTTTGACACGATGACCAGCGTATCGGACACAACAACGATCGTGTTCAACACGACGACCATCGTGTACGACGATCGTGTTTGACACGACGACCATCGTGTTGGACACGACAACGATCGTATTCAACACGACGACCAGTGTGTCGGACACGACAACGATCGTGTTCAACACGACGACCATCGTGTTCGACACGACAACGACCGTGTCGACCATCGTGTTCGACACGACGACGACTGGGGTGAAAGTGTTCGAGAAAACTTGTTGACGTCATCGATAAACCAGCACTGGACACGGAGGCTTTTCTCTTTCTCTCGCGGGGTGGGGGTGCCGTGTTGGCCGAAGCGGCACTAACCTGGAGAGCGGGGCAGTTGTTGTGTCGACGTTGGCGGACAGCTGCGCTGATTCTCCCAGAACGAGAACGATGACACAATGTCGCGGGAGCTCATGTGCGCGAATCGCATTTCTGCTCTGCAGCTGAACGTCATCCCCGCGCCTCCGCTCCGACCAAGGGGGGAAAACGATCGCGGCTGTATTCCCGGATCGGACCGTCCATATTCCCGGATCGGACGGCTAGCAAGCGCGCGCGGAGGGCCCACCCGGAAAACCACTTATATGAGGAAGGCCCACCACTCCCCATCGGAAAATCCCGACCGTCGGTATTCCCGGATCGGACGGCCAGCAGGTGCTCGCGAAGGGCCCTCCCGAAAAACTATATATATGAGGGAGGGCCACCAGCTCCCATTTTCGTTTCAGTTCGGCAAGGCAGCAGTAGAGCAGCACAGCGGAGGTTCGTCGACGCAGCGCAGCGGAGGCTCGTGCCACAACGCAGCGCAGTGGAGGCTCGTGTACAGCGCGGCAACGGAGCGCAGGGATTCGGTCCGTGCATAGCCGACCACCTGCTCGACGCGACGGTGGACCACAGCGCTGTCGAGAAGCGTGTTCAGCGCGACGACGTAGCGAGCATACGGCCCGAGATCGCGACGCACAACCACGGCGGAGCACCCCAAGTTTGAAGGATCGGACGGTGAGGACACAACTACGCAACCCAGATTCAACCACGTAACGCCACGTGGCACTTCCGGTTGTCGAGTCGAACACGATGGTGCCCCATCGTCGAGTCGAATACGATCGCGCCCGATCGTCAAGTCCAATACGATCGTCTCCGATCATCGTGTCGAACACGATCGTGCCCGATCGTCGAGTCGAACACGACAGTGCCCGACACGTACACGGTCGTGCCCGATGTCTGATTGTCGAGTCGAACACAATAGTTGAGTCGAACACGCTCATCGAGTCGAACACGACACTGCCCGATCGTCGAGTCGAACACGATAGTCGACCTGAACACGACCGTCAAGTCGAACACGATACTGCCCGATCGTCGAGTCGAGCAGGATAGTCGAGCCGAACACGACACTGCCCGATCGTTGAGTCGAACACGATAGTCGAGTCAAACACGACACTCCCCGATCGTCGATTTGAACACGATGGTCGAGTCGAACACGACACTGCCCAATCATCGAGTCGAATACGATCGTCGATTGCGTTCGTTGAGTCGAACACGACAGTCGAACACGATCGTCGAGTCGAACACGTTCATCGAGTTGGACACGATCGTCGAGTCGAACACGATCGTCGAGTCGAACACGATCGTCGAGTCGGACACGATCGTCAAGTCGAACACGATCGTCGAGTAGAACACGACCGTCGAGTAGAACACGACCGTCGAGTCGAACACGATCGTCGACTGCGTTTGTCGAGTCGAACACATTCGTCGAGTGCCCTGTCGAGTCGAACACGTTCGTCGAACACGT